TTCGACACTCAGCGGACAATGAATGATGTCTCATTTGCAAGAAGACGGAGCGTGTGATGCAGAAAAGAGGCCGAGCTGCGAGCGGAAATCTTTGTGAAAGATACGCGAGCTGGGGAGTGTGTGCTTGGGGAGGTGTGGGGCAGAGGCGAAGAGTATTTGCTGCGGTGCGTGACGTCGTTGTCGTCGTCGTATGCTGCTCAATGAGCAAGGAAATAAGCGAGCAGCTTGGGGTAGTCTGGCGTTCCGAGACCAGTGACGGGGTCCCATCCCTTGACTGCAGCGAAGCCCTCTGTTCCGCAACCAGGGTTGGTACCGTTGGTGATGTCGGTCAGCAAGTAAGGGTTCTTGTACAGAACAGGGTTGACGAATCCGACGGAACCCTTGCCGATGGCGAAGCGGGCTTCGTTGATGAGCGTCAGGATAGAGGCAAAGGTGGGCGCCGAGGCAGAGGTACCGTAAAGGTGGTACTTGTACGATCCGTCGAGCGCAACCACGTAACGAGCACCGTTGGCAGAGACGTCGGGGAAACCGCGAGTCTTTTGGCTGTTGTTGTACTGGATCGAGCTGTAGGCCTTGGCTTGAGGTGCAGTGGCGAACCAAGACTTGACGGCGCTGCTCTGGTAGTCTGGAAGACCAAAGACGTTGGAGAAACCACCGCCAGAGTAGATGACGGAGTTGCAAGCAGTCTCTGGGGCGAGGACGGTCTGATTCAGGGTGATTTGAGTCGCTCCGATGGAGAGAACGTAAGGGCAGCCACCGGGGAAGGAAGGGTTAAATTTGTCTCCCTTGTTCGTTCCAGCCGTATAGTCACCAGTGCTTGGATCGATGCACTGTCCGCCGTTACCAGCGACTCCGTAGTCTCCGGACGAGTAGAGGAAAGTGGAGCCCTGCAGACCGAGCTTGGCATACTCGTTGCACTGACGAACCTCATACTCGGGGGTAAGATCAGCCTCGCTGCCGGAGCAGGTTGAATCACAACGAAGATTAGCGTTGACGATCGAACCTCTCGCAATGCGGGCTCACCACACTCACTTGTAGCCGTAAGAAGTGGAAATGGTAGGCAAGGCCTTCAAAGTTCCGCAAGTCTTCTGGACACCGGTCTTGGGGTCGGGGTAGACTCCGTCTTGCACGGGATCATCACCAGCACAGTAGGAAGCATCGAAAGCATCCAGGAAGTTGTTGAAAGAGTCGGCTGCTTGGCCTTCGCCGACTTGGTACAGCGTAACTGGGATAGGGTTCACCAAAGCCATGCCGTACTCGAGGTCCAAGTTGGACTCGGCATTGAGGTCATTGTTCTTGTTGTTGAAGTCGACCTTGCCGCCCGAGATAGATTCGAGCTTGGGCCGCTTCTGCACTTGATTTTTGCTGTAGTTTCCAAAGAACAGGTCAAGGTCGGTGTCGATGTACGACTGAGGGGTGTACTCGACAATTCCCAGACCGTTCTTGGGGTTGATGGGTGTGAAGGAAGGAAGGGCGGGGAACTTGTACAGAGCTCGAAGACAGTTGGGAGTGACGTTGTTAGAGCAGTCCTTGAGTTCGTCAATCAGCGGGAAAGCGCTTTGAGGGATGGGGCGCACTTTTGGCAGCGAGCCTGAGCCAGGCGCACCAATGGGTCTAACCGCATGGCCATTGGCACGCTTCTCCAAGATGCGGTCCAAGTTCTCGGACGGGTCCCTCTTCTCGAGGTCGGGACGCACGTCAAAGTGCAGCGTAGGCGTGATGAAGTCGACGTGCTCACGAATGTGGGAAGGAAGAGAGTATGCATTCATGACCGCAGGGTGCACCTTGACGTCCGCCGCTGCGCGTCCTGCCGAAGACGCGTGAACCCAACCGTGGTACTCGGTGTTGAGCAGTCTCTCGGCTTCAGCGACCGAAACGTGCAGCTCGAGCCAGCCCTTGGAGGCGCTCTGACGAATGCGCGAGGCATCGATAGAACCGTGAGACTGGAGCCAGCTCTTGACTACATTGACCGTGTGGTCAGAGGGCGCAAAGTGCTCGTGCACCTGCTCTGGCGTCCAGTGCTTGCCGTACTGCTCAGAGTTGGGGTCGCTCACAGCGCTGAGCAAAGCATCGAGGTTCTCCATGTTGGATTGCTTCAGCGCGATGCGCATGGGGAGTTGCGTGCGCTTGTCCAGCCTGCCAACGCGGTTCCAGTTGGGGTAGACGGATCGCTTCTCGTGAATCTCGTATTGGAGCGCATCAGCCATGGGAGCGGCTTGTGCGACAGGAGCAGTCGAGAGTGACAATAGCATGGCGGAAGCAGCACAGAGCGCCAGCATCGCCGCAAGACGCGACCACTTGTTGCGGGTAGAGACCATTGTGAAGTGAATGGATGAGCTGAGCAGACGGGGCACGTCGGGAAGGAAAAGGGATGCTAGAGGCGTGGGGGAGTGGAGTGAGCGGATGGGGAAAGGAGGGCTATGCTGGCTTGTCGGACTGGGGTTTTATGCGTTCAAGCTGCCTGGACAAAGTGAGCTGGATCCTCCGTTGCGAAACGGTCTGCTGCTGCTGCTGCTGCTGCTGCTGCTGTGATATCGTCTATGCTGACCACGCTGCTTGCGGGTCACTGAGTGCACTCGCGAATGCAGACGCAAGGACCGCGCAACCATCATGGCAAGATGGCTGTGCGGTATGCAGTCAGTCAGAAGCTATCTATATTAGCGTCAAAGGCACATGCAAGCTTGGGAAAGGCAAGCAAAGGAATAACAAATCCAGATCGTCAGAGAAGGAGAGGGGGATAAGCTCAAATCCACGTCGCACGAAAGACCGAGGGGGTGTTCATGGCCGTCTTACCGGCGGATGCAGTGCTGAACCGCGGCTGATCCTCCTGAGTCGTGCAGGTGCGCTGGGAGTGGCCCCGCGGTCGATGAGAGTGGAGAGTCTCCTGCTGGCTGTGCTGATACGCACCTGAGCTTTCACTCAACTGTGGAGCAGAAGCTAGCCATGGCGAGCAGAAGCGGGTCCTCGGCCGCTTTGTGAGCTTTCCTAATCGCATCACGGCGATGCTGGCGCGATAAGAGCATCCAGGGACTATATATGCATGCACCTGTTAGATTCGTGTTGCGAGAAGAAGCAGAGGGGAAGAAGGAAAGAGCAGCATCAATCAAGCATCAGCAGCGCGACATCGCACGGCAAGAC